CATTAGTACATGCAAACTTCAGTTCACTTACTAAATCTTAAATAAGTACCATAGGACACTTAATTTGTGTCAGGTACTATTCTAAGCCTTACTCTCATGGATTTTTTTTCTAGCAAAGTGAAAAGACAGACACTGAATTATTAATAAACAAGATAGTTTAAAATAGTGGCAAGTCATATGGAGAAAATAGTACAGGACAAAGAGAAAGCATGTGAGTCAGTGAGGGTCTGAGAAGACTACTTTAGATAGGCTGGATGGCTTCTGTGAAAGAGTGATGCTTGAGTTTTAGCTGCGAAAGATGAGAAAGAAGCCAGTTTTATGAAGATAGAGCATAAAAGGAACAACAGCAAGTGTCCCCAAGGCAAAGTTAAATCTGACCTATTCTAGGCAGAAGGAAGCCAGGGAGTCTAGAGCAGCACTTGAGCAAGGGTTCAAGTGACAGGAGATGAAGCATGAGAAGTAGGCAGGAGCCACATATTGGACCTTTTAGGCCACAGTAAAGAGTGTGGATTTTATTTTGAGGTTAACGGGAAGCCAGTGGAAGTTTTAAACTTGATCTGTCAGGATATGATTTACATTTTAAAACACCACTCTGTATGGATTGTAAGAAGCTTACAATGGAAGCAGGAATTGTTAGGAGGCTACTGCAGTGTCCAAATAAGAGATGAAAGTGCCCCAGACTAGGGGGATGGTTGTAGAGAAAGCTAGAAATAGATGAATTCAATATATATTTTAGATACCTCATCTCCACAGCCACCCACCCAAGAAAAAGACCAAAAAAAAAAAAAGTTGCTGGATTGGATGTTGAGGGCAAGAGGTGATGGGAAGATAGGAAACAAGGTGAGTCTTAAAATTTTACTTTTTAAAAGCTGCTAGAATATGGAAAAATGGATGAGGACCAGGGTTAGATATGATACCAGTTACCAGCTGCCATTGAAATGATTGCAATATATGGAGATCAGAGTCAGAGTAGAACTGTGCTAAATAGAGTTTTCAGTGGCTGATTTTTCAGAAGTAGATTGCCAGACCTTTCTTCCAAGGCACCTCTGTTGTTGTTGTTGTTATGTGCCGTTGAGTTGGACCCGACTCATAGCGACCCCTCCTTGAGTCGCTGAGACAGTATCACTACGGAAGTAGATTGCTCCATCTTCCTTCCGAGGAGTGGCTGGTGGGTTTGAACCAC